TGAACCATTTAATTTTTCTTGCCTCTATTATCCATTTATCAGCCTTCAGATAAAATGCTGTGTAGTTGCTAACAAATGCCGTCTCTATCCTGGCCATCAGAGCCTTCTCAGAGAGGGGCAGTCTGTCTCCCTCTGGGAAATGGCAATCTCTAGGTCAGAGATGAGGAATCCAAACCGTAGCTGCAATACTAAAATGTCTTGCAATTAGTGCCTAGTCAGATGTGTCGCTGCTCTCTTTCTTTCAGTATTAAATGTTATTTTTCTTATTTGTTTAGGGTTTTCACATTTTCTCTCCAGCTGATTAAATATTGAGGCTGGAGCAACATAAAGGCCAGTCTTGTATTTCTCACATGTTTGAAAGGGAAAATATTTATTGTCAAGGTTTGGAACTTGAGTCTGTTCTGAAACAAAACAAATGAAATTTGCTACTAAATAAATTTAATATCAAATTGGTGTACACAAGTCACTTGAAACTCATTAGGTACACGAAGACATTGAAATGTCAGCTATGTTTTCTTTCTAAAGGCCAGAGATTTCTTTTGCATGCAATAGGTCAGAAGCATTTTCAGGAGAGTGCCAAATACTCTCAGGAGCACTGGCTACAGGCACCAATCAGCTTTCACATTTATTTTGATTCTTACAACTCAGAGCAGATTAATAATGGAATTCTAATGAAGTTCCACATGAAAACAAGCTATGAATGCATTGCTGGCATACAAGGACATGAACTTTCTCACGTAGAATATTATTCACTTAGCTATTTTACATAATTATTTTGAAACCAAAACAATTAATGAAACAGTTGAAGAGAATGTCTGACAAGAATGACACTTTCCTTTGCAAAGAAAACTTCACAGATACCATTTTAATGCTAGCAGGATCTGAGGTCACACAGAGTGAAAGGTATTGCCTTTCATATAGTGCTAGTAAAGAAGATTTTGCTATACTGAACTTGAGCCACCACATAAAGCCCTGCGCTGAGGATGCTGTGTGCTGTTTGCATGGCACAGCCTCTCTATCTCAGCAGGTCAAGTGCACCCTGAAGGTGGGGACAGGCCACCCCAAGCACTGGCAGCAGGGCCCAGACATCTTGTTGTTTTCTTCAATGTTGCACTCCCCACAGAGGCCCTCTCTGTGGGGTAACAGTGGGATGGTGTGCTGGATTGCAATTTTAGATGTTGCTACTTTTAAATGTAAAAATCGCTCATGGATTCCCAGTTTAAAACATACATTAATTTCTGACTCTGGTTATAGGGGAAGGGAAGAAAAGAAGGTAAAGTCCAGTGCCCATAGCCTTCCTTTCTGAGAGAGCTTCAAAAATGCTCACATTTTTGTATCATCAAAAACAAAAATTGTAGCTCAAGTAAATACCCAGCTTTTCATTGTCCGTATTGCTTGTCCTCTGCACTAATGCCAACCAACATCTGTTCCAAATGAGAACTTCAGAAATAATGAAAAAGAAACTGAAGGTAACAACAAAATAAATAATGCATGGAGCACTGATCAAACTCTGAACCTGTGTACTCAATTCAGTAGTAAGCTCAATATTTAGAGTATGGTTACATGCTAAAATGAGAATATTCCATTTTCCACCACCTTCTCTTTTTCTTTCCCCTTTCCTTTGCTCTTCTCTGGCTCTTGAGGAGCTGATTCAAGTTCCTAAGCCACTAGAAATCACATCCAGAAAAAAAAAAATACACAAAAACCCAGGAGGTTTCTGCTGCGTTACTGAGCTATAATAGGCCCACCATATGGTCAGCTGTAGGGAGGGGGTGGGATTGCATGGCCAGGAGCAGCACTGGCCACAGGATGGAAAGCAGAAGGATCGGCAGAAAAACTTATTCTTGCTGTCAGGATAATTTTCTTCACATTTTTGTTTAGTTTAGACTGAGGCAAAGACCAGAACTGATGGGAGACAGGGTAGCACATGACTGGTAGTCAGGAGGGAGAGTAGGGATGCGGCAAATAGTAATTAGTTTGGACAAAGCTATTTTGGAAGTGCAGGTTTAGCTTCTTGGTGGTGCCCAGAGAGCTGTTCTCACCAGAGAGCACAGTCTCAGGCTGCAGAGAGGACTGGAGAGTCAGGTGACAGAATCCAGGTTGCTCTGGCTGCAAAACAAGCAGCAGCAGATATCTGGCATACTGATCAAAAGGGTAGAGATTTGAAAATTAATAGTGATGTAATAAAAAGACATTGAATAAATATTCTCAAAGATTTGTGGTGTATATGGATTTCATATTTCTATAAAACATGCAGCATTTCTCTTTTGTTGGTGAATTGGCACTTCCCAAACTGGTGCATCGGGCAGTGATGTTGCTAAGCCATAAAAGGCAAAGACTTTCAAGAGTGGCTGTTTAAAGTTAGGGATCAAAGGCCACACTTAAGTGCCTAAGTGGGTGTGTGGTTTTCAGAAGTGCTCAACACTACCACTTATCATCAATGGAAGCTGCTCTGAGTCTTAGGCCTCTGAAAATAGGGCATTAAGTAGTAGGACATAGGACTTGAAATACATTTTTAAGCACTGGATAGTAAGTTGGTCAGGATAGTAAGTTAGACTGAATGAAAAATCTCAGAAAGCAGGAATAAACACCATTAAGCCTGCAATTAAAGAATGGATATATTTATTTTCTACATTATTAATCCAAAATATTTAATGAAAATATTTAAGCAATATGCAGCACCATTCCAGTGTTAACTCCACTACTTCACTGACCTCCTCAAGCATTCAAAACTGAATTACCTTAACAAATGTTGGTGACAGAAGTCTCCTATTAGGTGTTTGACATTGTAAGAGGAAGCCATGATTTCCATTCCTTGGGAATAGGATGTTAGCATGAAATTACTAGTATTGCTTTGGACTAAGAAACATTTCATTTTTCCACCATATAACTCTCTAGAAAACAAGATATTCTGAAGACAAACACAGACAACTGTAACAGTAATGTTTTATATTTGCCATTCCCTGCTTTTCCCAGGGCTCTTCTCAGCTATCAGGCTTAAGAAGTGGGATGATACTCTAGGCAATCCTCAGCTGGGGAAATCTGGTCTTAAGATAAAACCTCTCCTTCCACAAAGAGGACTTTAAGTTGGAATAAAAACTGTTAATTCAATTTCTTTCTGAAGGAGTCTGCTCTTACCAGTTCTCTCTCTCTCTCCTTGGAACGTTGACTAAGACCTGCTTTGGTAACAGAGTCCTGTCTGACACAATTTCAGTGTCATGTACCTCATCACGTAAAGAGGCCTTTGTAAATAACACTTCACACAAGGCTGACCCAGCCAAGTATGCCACAAGATTGACTGTAAACAAACATATGGTGGAGATCTGTCTTTTTCAGGGAGACAAGAATGGAAGGGAAAATTGAATCATCTTTGAGGTTACATACATACATTTTACACATGTAAAGCTTTGGGAATCTGAAGTTATTCATTATACACAAGAATAAAATGGACCTGTTGGAGTGAGTCCAGAGGAGGCCATGAAGATGATCATAGGGTTGGAGCACCTCTCCTACAAAGACAGGCTGAGCAGATGGGGTTGTTCAGTCTGGAGAAGGCTCCATAAGCAGACTTACAGTACCTAAAGGGAGCCTGCAAGGGAGCTGGAGAGGGACTTCTCACAAGGGCTTGCAGAGACAGGACAATGGGATAATGGATTTGAACTAAAAGAGAGTAGGTGTTGATCAGATGTTCGGAAGAAATTCTTTGCTGTGAGAGTGGTGAGACCCTGGAACAGGTTGTCCAGAGAAGCTGTGAATGCTCCATCCTTGGAAGTGTTCAAGGCCAGGCTGGATGCAGCTTTGAGCACCTTGGTCTAGTGGAAGGTGTTCCTGTCCATTGCAGGTGGGTTGGACTTAGATAACTCTTAAGGTTTCTTCTAACACAAACCATTCTGTGATTATAGGATTCTATGACATGGTTAAGAAGAAGTCAACTCACTGCTGCCTCTGGAGAGAAGAACCAGGGACTGGATGTAGATTGGTAAACCTCAGACCTGGATTTCTTGATTTGGGGGGGGTCATTTAATGACTGTTTGTGATATACAAGGTGTAAAAAATTTGCAAAGATATCATATTCAATCATATTCTCTGAAGAGTTGGAAATCAGACAAGGTGTCACAGGCCTGAGCATATAACTTGTGAACTGGGAGCCTGAGATGCTCTTACAGAACCCAGAGAGCTGGAGCCCTGTCAAGGCATTCAGCAGAGCCTCCAGATGTGGCAGCGGCCTAAGGGGAGACAAAGAGTTACATTGTCCCACCCCAAACCCCTTTTGAAGGGCGGCCCAGGTGCTCTGATTGAGTTTGAGTCCCTGGGGGTTTCTCCCTTGGTGTGCTTCTACTGGTCCCTGACCCTGAACTCCACCCTCAGAGGTGGGGACCCTTGAGAGTTCTGTCCCTCAAAAACCCCTGCTGTGCCTCTGTTCAGGGCTCTCAGTTCTGAACCTGACTTTGTTCCCATGCTGAATAAATGGTTTCATGAACGGGAGCCCATCTCCGTTGGTGTTTGATGCTGGTCCTCAGAATCCTGTGGCTTCCCTGGATGAGATCCTAAGGTTGCGGACTGCAACATCCAGAGTTTTCAGCAGAGCAAAGATGCCTGCTTTACTGTGAATTGAACAGCCTCTGAAATTCTATGGATTTTGCTGACAAGATCACTATAGGCTATTATAGGATCTTGAACACCTAGACTTTATGTAGGCACTTCCAAGGAGATTAAAATTTAGGTATGTTAATGTTTAGATATATTAATGTAAGCTGAAAGTCACTCCAGCTGTTGATGCTACAATATACTTCAGTGGCACCTCTGCTTTTCTCTACTGTGCTTTACCAGGGGAATTTACTGAAAAAACCCAACCAAACAACAAAACTGTAGGAGGGAGCATGTAGCTGATTGTGAGAGTCAAAAGTAAATGCAGGACATTGAGAGTGGTGGGGACCCATCTTTCTGTTCTGAGGTCTCTGTTCTCACTGAAGATGGTAGGAGGCAGATAAAACTGTTACCTGCAGAAATTTCCATCTGTCTCTGGGAGGGTCAGAGAAGCCATGGGATTCTTCAGAAGATCTGTCACAGTGTTATCCTTTGGTGTCACGTAAAAGAAAGGGATTCCAGTGCTGTTATTGACGGGACCATCACTGAGAAGTAAACAGTTCCCATAGGGCATACCTTGGATCTGCAAAATCCAAATAAGCAACTGGTTACATATTTATACATAGACAGTTTTCAAGGTGGGGGATTTTCTCAAGGGTTCTAGCAGAGAAAACAGCCAGCCCCATTGCTCCCACTTTCTGTTGTCATCATGAGAGAGCATTTCTTCTAAATTAGATCTATCTCCTCTATATTACATTTATCATGCTTCTATGAAAACAGATCTCACCTCTAGTCCTGTCCATGACACTATAGAGAATATTTTCTCTTCCACTAAGCTTAAAGGAACTACCAAATTTAAAATGTTTAAGTGCATTAGTATATTTTTTTCCTGCCATCAATGTCAGGAGATGTTTACTCTAAACCACTGCTGGTACCTTTCTTCAAGCCCAAAAGGATATAGAGCCTAATTTAGCTTTGACTCAGCCTGCTTTATACTCTAATATTGGCTCCCCTTTTGGTTTTGATTTACAGTGTGATTGCATGGGTTTGCAAAAATAAAAAATAAATCATTTTAGCTAGAATTGGGTTTGAAGTCAAACTGGACATCAGCTCAGCTTCCTGGGCAGGAACATTTGATCAGAGGGGTGTCTCAACTACCAGCTAAGGCAAAATCTCCTCCCATGGCAGAGAAGGAACACTGAGGAGCCAAGTTTTCAAAAATATTTTCTCCCATACTGACCTGTGTACACACCGTGGTTATAATGCATGCAAAAATGTTCTTACCCAGTATTGACACTCATTAATATACTCCAGTATACTTCTACTATGCTTGTCCCATTACAAATATATATATATAAATATAAAATATATATTATATATAAATATATCCCATTATAAATAGCAATGACAGATATTCAATTAATTGCTCCTTTTTTTTTTCCTTGTCTTCAGATATTTTTCCCTTGTCTCTTAGATGTTGAACAGTAAAGTTATCCATCAATACATTAAATCTTTTACAACAAAATCAAATTAAATATGAATAGTTAATAAGAAAACCCTGGAGATGTTGTTACCTGGGTAGCTTTCTGATTTTTAATGTTTATATGCCTTTAAAATTTTAATGCTTATAGTGCTTATAAATGGCCTTTGTTGGTTTTCCTTAGAAGTCATGCTTTCATGATATTACATAATTTAGAAAATAAAAATATTGCTTATTAATAAGAGTTACAATTTAAAAAAAAAAAAAAGTTCTCAGTAATATTGCAGGACATATTCCCATTGCTTAAAATAGTCTGTCATGCAAGGTGTTACCTTGTTACCCTGGATTCTCAAAAATAACTGATCACACGCAGCATAATTCAGCATTCAAAGCAGCAAACACCACCACCCGAATTTCAAATTTTATTAGGAATCAGATTTTTCTGTACTACTTCTGTGCTCTGTCTGGAGGAAGATAACTGCAGACTATATTACAGCCGTAATTCCATTGAGGGTTTCTGGTGAGAGCATAAACCAAGAGAGTTACAATCACATGGTTTAACAGGATTTCCAAAAGCTGAGGTAGAATTACAGGCCTCTTCTGTCTACGTAAAAATTCATTTAATAGTATTTTTTTTTCAATCTGTTACTTTGTATTTCACAATAACATTAAGTGCCGCTTACTCAGCCAAGCTTCTGAAGACTTATGTGCTTCTAAATTTAATTTAAAATTGTAAGCTAATTAATCTGTGAATAAGATTCACAGATTCTTTCAACAGAAAGTTAAGAATGTCTTTTGTATTTATTTATTTATTCCCCTTTTGTCTGAGTGTTAATGGATGCTGTGTCTTATCCCAACATTTCACTTTTAGAAAGGCAGTATTTTAAAGCTGGAAAAAATAATGACCCCAATTCCCAGGTACAGCCCAGCTATTTTGTTTAATGTTCCTGACAGAGAAATCGTCCTTTAAGCTGGTATAGCCGGACGGACGGGCAGATTTCGTGGTAGCCCACCAGGCTCTCGTCCTTCTCTTCCTCATCCTCCTGAAACAGCCCCTCTCCAAACCCTGCGATGCAGCTCTGCCTTACTGGCCTAGAGGTTTTGCTTTTTTGCGTGTCTCTCTGGCGCGGATTTTAGCGTGCATCCTCCCTCCCTGCGCTCCGAGCACGATTTCTCCTGCAGAGTTTGCGCCGCTCCCTGCGCGGGGCGGGCGCCCGTCCGGCGGGTAACGCGTGCCGGGCGCCGGGGGCACCGTACCTTTCCTCGGGCGGCCCGCGTCGCCACGAAGCCCCAGGTGTTGTGTTGGGCGAGGAAGCGGGCGGTCCCGGCTCGTCCCGGCGCCCCGCCGCCCTCCCGCCGGTAGGAGAACATCCTGGACGGGGCTGCCCCCTGCCCCGGCCGCCGCGCCGCCGGCCCGGAGCCCAGCGCCGCATCCTCGCGGTACGCCGAGGCCGGGAAACTCTGCTTCCAGAGGCCGCCCGCCTCCTCCAGCAGCGCGGGCAGCGCCTCCTCGGTGGAGGAGCTGTGCAGCTCGTCGGCCGCCGCCCCCGCCTCGGGCAGCGGCCACGACACGGAGCTGACCACCACGTACCCCCCCGCGCCGCCGCACAGCAGCGCCGGCAGCAGCCACCACGGCCACGGCCGCCGCGCCGACATCTTCTGCGGCAGCGCCCGCGCCGCTCCCGCCGCGCCCTCCCGCGGCCGCCGCCCGCCCCGCAGCGCCCCCTCCCCACCGCACCGGGCTCGGGCCGCAGGCGCGACACGCCTCGCTGTGCTGCCCGCCAGCCCCAGCGGGAGCCTCCGCCCGCACCTGCCACGGACACCCCGGCACTGCCTCCCGCGGCGGGGCGCGCAGCTCTGGGGCCCCTCGCGGTTCTCAGCCCACACGGAGCTCACCGCGGGGCAAGCCTGCCTTTGCCTGTCTCTCGCGGGGGACCTGGGAGGCTGCTGGAGCCTCTGGCTCAGGTGCGCGGTCCAGCAGGTATCTCACGTTTTAAGTTCTCTACACGCACCGCAAAACCAAAAAGATGGAGCTGTCTGGGCGGAGGCGGTGCGACCTCTCCGCTTGTTAAAAAAAGAGACAATCCACGAGGGAGAGTGTCCATGTGAACACTCCCATTGCAGGGAAAGCTTCATTTGGGCACTGGGGTCGGTCAAGTCACAGCTAGACCCCAAGGCTGAGGTGTCAGGCAGCATTAGTTTGGTGCTTGCAAAGATGCGGTTTTGATATGCAAGTACATGGGGCTGCTATTAAACGTTTTCCAGGCGAGGTTTTAATTAGGCTAAGATTTGCATGTATATGGATTTCTATCAATAGCCCAAATTAATAAAGGCACATGTGCATCCAGTTCCTTTCTTGGCAGTAGACCTCTTCAATATGGCCATGCAAAGATGTAATTCTTTAAAACATGTGCTTGTAAACTTTCGCTGTATTCATGCAAATTTTTTAAGGAACACAGGTTCAATAGGAGACAGGGAAGAATTAATCTCTCAGAAGCCTTTGCCTGTCAGAAGGTTCACAGGTACATCTAAAAGATGTTCTCAGGTACATCTTACTTTTTCATATGTGTGAAGAACAAGTTCCAAGATCAGTCTACTGATAAAATTTCTGCTTAATTGTGCCATGTGAACAGGCATATCTAATCAAGAATCTAAACTCTTACAAAAGTGGACTTGAGAACACTGAGTATTTTTAGCTTATATTTTTTCCTACGTTCCCTGCTCCTTTTTATTTTCTTCACCATAAAAACCTGAGGAATAGTGGTAGTGGGTATAATGGGCCTTAAGAACCTAATCAATTTTTCTGATTGTGAAGATACTTCCCAAGAAAATGTAATTTTGGCACCAAACTCTTAATCTTATCTGCAGAATTGAGTACATGACTACCTTTTCCTTTAGCTCATGGTCTTGTCTACATCTGCTGCAATACCACACTTAGGAAAATTGATTCCCACTTCAGTGCTTGAGCTGAGACAGAAGAATGGAGATGCAAGCAGAAAATCAATTTCCAAATCCAAAATGAGTGAAAGCTCCCCAAGCTCCTGACAAGTGCTTTTCTCTGATTCAGGATATGTCCCTTCTTAAAATATCGAAGCAGTTGTCCCTTCTAGAAATAGCAACCAGGCACAGACAACTCACTTCAGGCATGCTCTTCAAAAATAGTTAAACCCCCCATTTCCTTGGTGTTTCAGGGAATTTCCTCACACAATCTGATGCATGCAAGATACAAATCTCATAGTTTATATTTACTATTTTCTATGAATTTATGCCAGGGTTTGTCTTTATGAACATCTTTGCTTGTACTTTACTTACAGAACAAGCCCAAACCTAGTTTTGAACATAATAAAATAGTAACATTATATACAGCCTATTTTATTTCAGTTAATAGAATTATATGTGAGATATTGACTCTCGTATCCTGCAGAAATAGGAAACAAAGCAGGAATTTCTTAAAACAGGAATTAGTGCTAGGTTTTACATTCAATAAATATAAATTTTAAATTAAGCATTGTAGACACAAAGAAGCATTAATGCAGAGTCATTAATTTATGCTATAGCTTCCAGATAAATTTACCATGATTACCTCAGGTAGGTCTTCAGCTTTACTGACAACAGAAAGATACAAGAAATACATAAAACAAAGCCACAAGTAGTTCACCTTTATCTTCTGAAGATTTATTCAAATAACCTAAATCAAATCATGTGACAAAATAAGTACATTGCTAGCCTAGTTTTGCCTTTAGTATTTTTTTAAAAAAGATCTGAAGTTTAAGAGAATGAAAACAGTATTTCTTAAAGTTCTAGCAAAAAAGTAAGAAAGGCATAGCATATAGAATACTACAGTCAGGATGCTTTTCTCTGAAGATCTGCTGTTCATCGAAGGCAAAAAAATATCAATTCATCTTTTTGAGTAAGAAATGTTTCCTTTCCAACTTGAAGATCCAGCTTAGTACATGATATAATAATTTTCTCTTCCTAAATTACCTGGATGTGCTGAAAATTAGAAAAGAAACATGGAAATGTTTTGACTGTAGGAATTGTAAATAATTTGTTTCTCCTTTCATTGAAAAAAAAATACTCTCTATTCTTCTACTGGTATTTTATAGATACCCAACCTTATTAATAAACTCAAGAAGAGGAAGCACATATTTGGGTTCATCATAGGATGGCAAAGGTCTGACAGAAGGGCATATCCACTTTGAATACATTATTCACACTTCTCACACTTTGTGTGTCAGCTGTAAGCACTTCTATTATCCATTTCCAAAACAAATAGTCTTAGCCTGTCTCTCTCCTGATGGGGACTGCATTTTCATGCTGAAATTCTGGCTTTCTTAAAATCAGCAGAACTTTTGACATTGAATTCAATCAGGGTCATGATTTTGCTCTCATTTTTTGGTCATTTTAGTTAATGATTTCACTTGGTCTCTGTATCCTGGTTTATACAGGCTACTCAGATGAACACTTACTCTTCCTATAGGTCAAGTAGTTAACTTTGTCCTATTTTTTGTCTCCCTTTATAACAAATCAAAGTGTTTGATTTGGTCTTTGCCAACAGAGCTAGGAATAGCATACCCTCAGTCTCTTCATGCCCTGATTTGCCGTATATTGTATGTTATGAAGGTGTGGAATTGGATTAAAAGCTACAGCACAGTGCTCTGCAGATAAACCCACTGCAGGTGTGCAGTTTAATAGGATTTTAATTTGGTAACAAGTGAGCAAAAAGCAGAAGCCTAGAATGGGATTTTCTAGATGAAAAAAATGCTATTCATGCTGAGAGAAAGCAACTGCAAGCTCTGTGATAAGGAATAAAGATCTGGCCAATGCTCTCTGAGCTGCCCTGTTATAGATTATGGCTTGTTCTGAGAATCTCTGTTACTGCCACTGGTTTCATCAATTCTGAGTTCATATAATGTTTGTTTGGCTCTGTATCATTTCATCTGCCACAGTTCCCTGCTAAGCCAGTGTGTACAAATCTTCTACTGTCTTGCTCCCTACCCTCTACATTTGTTCATATAAAACCAATGTTTTCCTTGGGAGATGCCACCAACTTGGAGTATATTCCGTCTTCAAGAGTATTAACTCTATTTATTAACTCTATGTATTAATTATTTAAACTATATTTAAAGATAAGATTCATAAATGTACTGTGCTGTTCAAAATAAATGGAAAAAAATGGTCTCTGTTGAGGAGTCTAATTTATATTCAGCATCAACTAGGAATGGAAGACCAGAAACAGATGGAGAAGGAAGAGGAAGAATGAAGGTGACAACTAAAAGATCATGAAGGGATCTGCTAAGCCACACATATTGGTGCTGCTGATGTCAGGGTAAGGTTGGGAGATTCTTTTCTGATTTCTGTTACCAGTCCTCCCTCATATTTTTCCAGGGTTTTGTAGCAAGACTGAGTGGTTAGCACTAATTTCAATGAGCTGAGTGTGGAGGTGCGATGAACAGATTTTTTTTTTTTTTCCACAGCATAACAGGCTGTAGAGAAGGCATAGAAATGCCTTGTGGAACAAGATTAAAAACTACGGAGGTTGGGTGGTGCTGGCAATGGATGGAGTGGAGGATGGGAACTGATGAAGAGCTCTGGGTTGCAGAAAGCTGCCAAGCCTGCCTAAGGTGAAAGAATTAAAAGCAAAAATTATGAAATACAACTGAGCAATATGTCAGGCAGCAGAAATGTGGTCCAGGAAACAGCAGTGCAGCTCAGGGATGCTGTTACGGCTGCTGAGGGTTTAGATACCCAACAGAATGGGCTGTGGGCAAAAGGGGGATTAGTCAAGAGCAGGGACAGATGGTTCCTTGGAAGCATGAGGATGATTTTTGGTGGTCAAAAGTCAAAGAACAAAAATCCTCATGCAATGGAAATCTTGTCAGAGGATCTACAGAGATGACAATACAAAGCAGTGGGTGATACTGATGCTTTTGGCAGCTGTGTTTTTCAGCAACCCATGGCATCAGTGTTGATGGAAAAAGAAAGAATCTGCAATGGTCAGGGTGGGAGCCACTACCCATCTGAAGAACATGAGTGGGCAGAAGTGCTCACTCACTCTCTCACAGCTCCTGAAGCCCTTTTGAGCTGCAGGTTCAAGTTTTTTGACTCCGACAGAAGCTGTAAGCACTTGAACCACAACATAACAGGTTCTTACTAGAATCTCTTTTTCATCCCAGTTATTAGCATCTTGCACATGGACTGGTAAAATCCATCATCTGTTGGGTTCTTTGATCTCTAAACTTCTGCACTTTATTAGTCATTCACTGTGTCCTTCCCTCATCCACACCTTCTTCCAAGTCCTCATACTCCTCATTTGACATTTTACACCCTTCCTCTCTTATTCTGAAAGGGATGAGTCCTCACAACCATGACAATCCCTCACTCTAATCAGCCTTGCTCTGTTCTTGTGATCTGGTACAAAAAATTCAGAACCGTTACATATTTATAAGCACGTCACTTACACAGACCAAACCTGGGTCAAGCCCTTGTCTTATGACCCCTGCAAAAAGCATTGCAATGGGCATAGGACATTCAAAATGCAGCACAGTGAAGAGCACAGGAAACGGGCAGATACCGAATAAAATTTCTAGTGGTTCATTTCTTCATTTCTGACCATCAGAAGAAGTGATTTAGAGCTCTCTTGCAAATTGTTTGTGTTTTTACATAAAGGTGGTATGGCAGGATGGGTCAGTATTTTACATTTGAAAAGTAACAAAACCTGTCAAACGTGCTTAACATGCATATAAATTATTCTTGGTTTGTCCTCTGTGTGCCTGCTTTCTCCCCTCCAATTTTCTTTGCTGAACTAGTCTTAGCATACCTTATATTTAAAAAAAATTAGGGTCCCCTAAAGGTCTTTATAATTAATAAAGCTGTTTTTAAAACAGTCAATTTCCACTCCTGTGCTAGTGTATACCTCTTGTGAATAAAATAACTATAGTAGTGTCACCCAAAATCATAAGTTTCTCTGTGAGTCTTGGTGCCATTAACATTTGTCTTTCCAAGTTTTCTGGTAATCACAATATTCTCTGAGACATAAGACAAGAGCTCTTACTGTATGGAAGAGAAATATGAAAACAGCTGAATGTCTAATACATTACTTGCATTAACCACAGAGGCTTGATCCATATTCCCATGTGTTCTTGTATTTAACCTTGTATTCTAGAAGACTTAGAGTCTATCTTGTTTTCTACCTGTATGTCACACCTTATGCTAGTAAATTTGGAGCAGTGGACTGACTGCAAGAAAATCTGGTAGAGCAGAACGGTCTCAAGAATTTCATATTGCTAAAGATATTTCATATCTTTTGATAAAAGTAACAGATAGGTGGAGGGAAGAAAGCCTCTCAGTGCTTCCAAAAGTGAGGAAAGATCATGCTGTGCCCTCTCTTTTTTGATCAATAAATTCATGCAGTCTGTTTGTCAACTAGCCCATGGTGCACTCACAGCCCACCAGAACAGCACTGCTCTTCCTTAGACAACACTTGGGGAATCAGAAGGAGCTCCAGTAGTCTGCTGGAAACCTAAGGAAAGAATCAGGAACCTGTGGTGCTGGGAGGTGGCTGATGTTGAGATTACAATCCTTTGATATCACTGTGGGGTGGGGGCAGGATGTGGAGGACGCTTCATGAGTTGAGGTTTCAGTGCCAGTGGACACAGCTTCATGCAAACCTGGATTTCCTTAGTTCTACTTTACATGCATAAAAACCCCAATCAGCCACACACCTCCCAGTCTGTCCTAATTCACCCAAATTATAACTTTTTTCCCATAATTTTAAGTTAATGCTATTTTCACCTTGCTGACAGTGGCTGTGTTCACCAAACAACTCAGAACTCTGGAAAGCATTGGTTAATCCGAAGTTATTCTGGTTCTGCATCACAAGAGATGTCTGTGTAGCATTGGCTTGAGGTTCCTCCTCAGCAAAACAGGCTGTGAGATGGCTAGGCTCGTAAACACACAGAACAGGGACCTCATTTTGGTTTGCAACCAAGGCATTTCCTTCTTCCTTCTCCTCTTCAATATAGGACTGGAAAATGTGAGCCGCAAAATCAACAAGTAGCATATTCAACAAAAGCCAGGATCCTAGGTTTAAAGAGAAACAAAGATAATTATGACAACCTCTTCATTTTCTTATCTTTATAATGTGTTCTTTTTCGAAAGGCTTCATTGTAGTAATAGACTAGAAAGTAATGGACCAACACTCATCAAACAGTACTTACAAAATTATGCATTTCCAAATATCCCAGAAAAATAGGCACCAGCGCAAATTTTAAATGTAAGCAAATTATTTTTCCTTTATTTAACTAGAGAGGAAAGTTATGTTCATTCACTTTCCTATTCGAGTTCCTCTTCCACATTCACTTCTACTACAAGGCTTATCAATAACCATGTGTTATCTCCATTCTCCCCTCAGATGGATAAATCCTTTAACCTCTTCTCAAGCAAAACCTCCTACAGACATCTGTGTGTGTTGTCTCTATGATATTAAACAGTCCACCTTGCAGCTTGGGCCATAAGTGATAAAAGACAAGAGAGACTCACTGAGGCTGTTGACTTTTGAATCGTATCTTGGGTTGAAAGCCCATACAGTAAAGAGTAGATCTTCTTCCATGCCATAAATCTGCATAGCAATTCATCATGCAATTTATAAACTCTGCATCCCACAAACTAGTTTATACGGATATCAACAAGGAGATAACCACAATTTATATTAATGACCACAGTTTACAGAGCTTTAAAAATGAAAAATACTCTCTTTTGATGTTATAAGTGTCTGAGCTGCTGAACAGCTGCTTCTGCTGTTCATCCTTTCGAGGATCTTTAAACTATAGGAAGGTAGGAGGAAATACTTTTTTACCTATGGAACAAGGAAAGGGATTTCTATATTGGAGCTGAAACTATATAGATTTGTAACTAGTAGCCCAAGAATGTTTCCAGCAGTCTTACAGGTGTTTTCGATATATTCTCTAAGAGTAAGAAACCAAAGCTACCACTTTAGCTGTCTTTTGGGATAATACAGAGGAACACAGTTCTCAAGAGGAACCAAGTTGAAGCAACTTGCTCGCAGAAGAGGAATGCACAGCTCACTACTCATTCCCCATGGCTTGGCAATGCATCCCTGAATGCCTTGGAAGGCAACAGATGTGTGTGAGCTGACATGAAACTCAATGAGGGAGGTGTGTAGAGGCACATTTTCTGGAAAGGAGATGGAGCTGAAGGAGCTGTACAGGTCCTGTTAGCCCTGAATGCTCTAGCACACTTGCTCCCTGCTGCCTTACAGCAGGGGTAGCTGCAGGGTCCCTCTGATCTCACTTGGGCATCACCCGAGTGGGGGCTGGGCTGGAAAAGGGTGAAAGTCAATGCTAAATTGAGAGGTGTGAGTATGCCAGTGTATTATGTCTATTGGATGTGGCAAGCTAGAAGGCAAGAGATCAAGTCATAATTAAGATTAGTTTTGGTTACTGGATTAACATGACACACATTTCCCCAAGTAATTTTGTTTTCTCAGTGTGGATGCTACATAGTTCATATTTTGAAGAAATGCTGAGATTAAAGACATTTCTGGAAAGCAGTGATCCCAAGTACAAAACTTTTACACCAGATGGCTTGTTAACAGAACTGCTTCAGCCTGTCTGTTAAAACTCAGTATCCTAAAGGAATAGAAACATGCAAAAAAAAAAAAAAAAAAGGACACTGATTGATCAAATACAACATCTTAAAGAGCAAAGAAAGAAGATAATAATGATCACATTATTGATCACATTAATGATCACATTGCTGAAGCATCACAGCAAAATATTAAAAATTATTTTTAACTCTCTCATATTTAAAATAAATTCAATTTTAGTGTTATTGAAGTATAGTAGGAAAACTGTCATAAAATGGGTGAAAATGTAATTTGTAATTAGTTTAACGAACTCTCAGCAGACCAAGAGATGTGCTCCATCTATTCTATCCTATCCATCAACACAACTGCAGAACAGGGAGGCAATTCATTAAACTCTTGTGGTGGAAAGAGGGAAGAGGATTTCATTATCATGGGGGATTTCAATAAACATTATGCTTCCAGTGCAGTTCTTGGAATGCATTCTCAATTTATTCATTGCCAAAAATATTGCATGTAGCATTGGAGAATTTTGTGCAGAACTCCTCTGGAGACAGAGAAAGGACTGATTATTTTACTATTACTGTAGCAGCTGATGGATAAGGGACCCTACTGTGTTATGTTCCCTGCAGACACAGAGCAAAACTCTGATTCTGCTCCAGACAGTATACAAGCAAACAGAAGACAAAAGGAAGCAGCTTGATGCAGAAGAAGGGTGTGTTTATATGTGCACAAGCAGTCATTAATGGGGTAAGAATACTGAAGAACACAAAAGGCAATCTTTACATACCACTTTGCTATGTATTTATAGCAAACACATGAAAGTATGTTTTTGAAGGGGCATTTCAAAGAAAATAATGAGGTTTTCTTTGGCTACTTGTATGAAATTGCATCCAACAGAAGAGTTAAAAATATGAGGGTGCTCCTTGAAAAATCTAAAAGACATTTCATACAGTTTGGGATTAGATGCAATTCACAGGAGACTGTACATTTCTACAGAAGGCATTACAAGGGAAGAGAAAGCAATTAAGAGTAGAGATTAGAATGATTTAAGATATGTTTGTATCACTTCAAGCCTCTTTGAGTGAACACAACTGCACAGTTCCTTCCCTTCTCCTGCCTTGCACTGGTGTATGATGGATTTGATGTTTGACAGCTCAGAGCCCTAAGATGGAGAGGAAAATAACCCAGCTGAAGAAATTACTATTTTTCAGTCAGTGTAATACCTTCAACAGGTCTGCTGCTATTTAGGCAAGCACTTAGGTCAGTGTAAGACATAAGTAAGAGGAGCACGTATCTGTTGTCAGAGGAACTAACTGCCTTTTTGGCAACTAGTTATTGCAGTGGCTCTGCTTGGGCTGTATTATACAGAAAGAATCTGGGGGACTCAGAGTTATCACCTGGAATGTCTGGAATGCTTACGGTTCATAGTATTAGTGGCCCCAGATCTCCATCAAACCATTCTGCTGTGGTGTGCAGCTCTTGTATGGAGGGAAAGCAGAGGTTCTCACCTCAGGCTCTGTTCCCTGTTTCCACACAAGCTACAACTTCTGACAAAAGAGGGAGTCCTGGCTTTTCTACCATCTACAGCTGTATGCTCCTACTCTCCCATCTTCTGCTCATCCTAGAGTTTTGCTCAGAAAACTGGTTTGGTCAAAAACTAATCATTTAATTTCCCTGACCTGTCTAGCCACATCACCAGGAGAATGGTGATAAAAGGAAAGGAGTAGGGAGAAGAGATGTGTCTATTAAATGATGCATGAATTTATGTCAGGTAAAATCACAGAAACACAGAGTGGTATGGATTGGAAGGGATCTTAATGACCATCTAGTGCCAAACCCCTGCCATGCACTTTCCAGAGGTTGCTCAAAACCCCATCCAACCTGGCCTTGTGGGTGCCCCAGGGATGGGGCACCCACAGCTTCTCTGGGAAACCTGTTCCAATGCCTCACCACCCTCACAGGAAAGAATTTCTCCAGTCTATACCTGGTCTCTGTCAGTTTAAAGACATTCCCCACTGTCCTGTCAATATATCACCAGCTGTCATTAGCCCCTTTAGGTACTTTTGGATCTGTTGCCTCTGCCATCTCAGGTCAAAATGGGGCATATCAAATTAGAGTCACAAAGATCCTATTTACCAAAACTGTCTGTCCTGTTGATGGTCAGAATCTTGCCTACATTGCTCAGTAGGAGGTTCCATTTCAACATGAAATCTGCTGCCTGCTCTTTAAATGCCTCTTTACTCTTGCTTGGCTGCAGATAAAGAAAAAAATTGGTTTATGATACAGTTGGTTAAAATAATTCCTTATTGTGTGGCAGACTATTACCCTGTACAAACTGCATACAAAGGTGAAAAAAGCAACTAGCAATTTTTTTCTATTAGAATCCTAAAATATCTTAGGTTGAAAGAGATCTTTGGATATCACTTATTCTGATCTCTTGTCCAAAGCATGGCCAGCTTAGTTCAGGCCTTGTCCAGACAAGTTCTGAATATCTCCTGGACAAAGATTCTGCAGCCTTTCCAGGTAACATCTTCCTATGCTTAATTACTCTAATGGTGATTTTTTTTCTTTGTATCTATTGGAATTTTCCTTTGCTGCAACTTGTGTCTATTGCCTTATGGCAAATAAATGTGAATCCCCAGAAGAAGTCTCACTCTACCTTCTCTATACCATCCCATGAGGTAGCTGAGGGTTGTGTGAGATGAAGGCATCACAGAATTGCAAAGTACTATTCTTCATTTAAAAAGACAAAACCAAGAGTAAATAATTAAGCCAAATAAACAGTTTACTCTGTTTCTTCAGAAAAAAGAAAAAATCTCCCAAGCTCTAAGTACCACCCAAACCCAAGTCAATTGTTATGGAAACCAACCAAATGCAGCAGTACCAACAAGGTGACACAAACTGAGATTCAGTGAAGGTAGAGGGGTGGTGGAGGTGGTAATCTATTGAAAGGTGCATATGTAAGGATGGTCATACTTGAATCTTTCACAAGAGCTAGAGACTTCCTACTAGAAGTTCTTAGTACTTGCTAAAAGTCAACAGTTGGGTGAACCAAGGAACCATGAAGTGTTCTCTTCTTTTATACCAACATATTACTTCTGAATTTTGGTTTATTAGGGGCTATGATAATATGCATCTATGAAATGAGACTGAAACCACTAGAGTGGATATATGCACAGAAATATGCTTGTAGTTGTTTGCACAGATGGAATTTTTGTATGCCAATTAATTCTCCCTTTTTCCGCAGCATGTATAAATTGTGTTTATGCAAATCTGCAGTCTGGTCAGGTCGCTAGTGTGCAATGTAGCTCCTGTAGACTAGTGACAGTCAGCATGTCGTAGGATAAAGGATGTGATCATTCTTTCTATTCTGAAATTATTAATTTCTTACCTTAATAACAAAAGTCTGGAGATCTGAGGACAAAGAGCTCAGGAGATCCCGAATATCTGTGGAAGATGTCAGTAAAGAAATGAAGTTTTTCAAACCTGTGAAATACAGAAGGGAGATCATTACTTGAAGTGATTGGTTTGCCTTTTGGTTTGTTTCTGCAGTTTTAAGCTTTTTTTTTTCCTTTTATCTTTACCTTAAAATATATTAAGATGCCTGTTTCTAGCATTTTGATTAATATGCCATTTTTTTAGTGAGGAGTAGTACCCTACTTTGAAATCAGTTGAAATTCATGTCTATGTCCATTTCCAGTATAACTGCACTGACTAGTCATCACGGCAAAGATAGCAAGATAAAGCAGTTCCAATGAGAAAGCTGGAATTTGGTTAGAGACAACTTACTTATCTGAGATTTTACGTGGTTGAGAAAAAAAAAGAATCTTGGTCTGGCTGTTGAAGGGAGAAAAAATGTTTTAAAACAATAACAGAAAGTGCAGAATATTCTGTAGACCAACAGAAATATGGATAATGTTGCTCCATATCAGTGCAATTGCTCCCCCAAAAGTTTGGCACCTACCACCCAATGCCAAAAGGTAAATTGCACCTTCCTGAATTTATATCCTTCTGATTGAGACCTCTTCTTTCAAGAAAGCATATAGATAAGTTCAGTGAAATCCTGTTTATTATAAATAGCATTTTGGAAAAGCAATGAAAACAGAGAATGCAATAAAACCACCTTGGGAAGACTAAGAATATTAATAATATAACAGAAAAATGTAGTAAGTGTTCAATGCAGTGGTTTTGGGTTTAGTATGTATATGTATATTATTGAAATCTCCTGATGGTTCTGTGGAGCAGGCAAGTTATTATTCCTACTGAAAGCAGTCACAGAAAATCTGTGACAAATCCCTTGTCCATGCATGGGTCGGTGATGCACCAGGAACAGAGATCTGAGGTTCCCCCAGTTAGTTCTGTGCACAGCCTAGTCCAACTTGCATATCTCTTCCTAATATTTTAAATGGCAGACCATTCATCGAAAAATTAAGTTGCCATTCTATTCCTTTTCATTAAGCTGTCAAATCATTATGTCACAGCTGCATACAAATGGTCTATTTTATTGTTTACACCACAACATTGATCCCACAGGCCACAATACAGCAAAAGGATACAAAAGCTAAAAGGTCTTGTCCAGTTCAGCATACAGTATTTTAAAACATGGCCACAAGAAATGATTTTGCGTGCAGCTAATAACAGAAAAATGCAATACTAAAAACATCTTTCCTGTCAAAAGGAACCATGAAAAAATATCCCTTCTTGTCGACCTTCTTCTAGGAGAATGCATAATTCAGTAACACAAATCCCACTCCAGCTGTCACAAAAAGCTTTAAGAGAGTCAAAACCAAAAGCCCATAATTCTTAACCTTTGAAGTCAGGAGGATATTATCTCATGCTCCATTCTTGATTTTATTGGCTCTTTTTTAGCCCTTCAGGTTACAGGAAGACTGTAATTCCCAGTAGGGCAGATTTCATGAATAAACAAGAGGAAATCCTGGACCTTAAACAACGACAAGCTAGTGCTTAAGAGGAAAGACAATAAATAGCAAAAATTAATTACATTTTAATTGTATGTTTTTCTGCCGCTTCTTTGGATTCCTAAACTCTTGAAAGAGGTCTTTAGTCACATCCAGAGATTTCTCATTGAAGATGGCATGCAAGCCTGATCGCAGAACAGTGACTGTGCTGTTGTTGTTCAAGAGAGCTCTTACTGTCTGTAGAAAATAAAAAAACAGTTAATGCCTTTCATTTTCTCAAGACCTTAACTCAGCCAAATAAGGGAATTGAAAAAGGAAAGTTTCCCTTATTCAATACCAGTCTCCAGATTGGGGGTGTGGAGGGTATAGGATCAAAGGAGATAAATCTGAAGTTGTCTTCAAGACAGTTTTGTTCTGGGAGATGTTCTTTTCAATGATGCTCTGTGTTGTCTGTGATGGAGCAGACAAGGCTAACATACTTGAATTATCTGGGCAATTGCCTGGGCAATTGGCTTTGCCTGGAGTTATTACAGTTACACTAAATAATGGTATTTTGTCTAAAGCACGGAATGGTGGATCAGGGATGACTTTCCTTCAGTGTTATCTGTCCTTAATTCCTGTTGCAATTTAATTCAAAGGCAAGTTTTCTCAAGTTGCTCAAGCCTTTGAGAGAGTAAAAATAACATAAATATGGCAGTAGTTAAAACAATATTAGTTGGCATTTTATCCCATTTATCCCATTTTATCCCATTTATCTGCTTATGAGTCATTTGTGAATTAATCTGTCTTCATATTTGTCCCAAAAAGTATTACATATATATTGCAAAAAGTTTTCAGATTATTAAAAAAAAAAAAATTATCATAACCTCTTCACTTTTTTAAATTAGTTGCTAATATAACACAATATTCCTTAAGACTCTTGATGAAACGATGAAAACAGTCAAGGAAACTAAATCTGAATTTATTAAATTTTGTTAACAAATATATTTAGTGTTTCATTTCCATACCGAAATCAGTAAGATCTTGAAGCATAATTTGGACTTCAGGCTTTTCTGTGAATAATTCTTGTCCAGTTGGGCTTTTCAGAGGAAAAATATAGTTTGTAAAATTCCAGAAATCTTCAGAATCCATACATGTTTTAACAAATCCCATTCACCAGGTGCTTAAAACGACCCAGCAATGAATGCAGCTGACTATTTCTTTGCAAAAATTACCAATACAGGTATTTTTCATCACTCTGCTAGCTTTTTTGAAATACCAAACTCAATCTGATTCTCACTTAGCAATCTCCTTCATGTAAGTTAATGACAAAGGCATTCTTCTTATTTGACTTGGAGTTTACAGTGACAGAAAAAGAGCCTGTCAAAAGAATACATGACCCAAAGGCTGGCAGCTACCAGGACAGCATCTTCAGTAGATAGCTAATACCCGACTCCATGCCCCAACACTTTAGACTGGTCCTTTTACCCATTGGATTTCACTATACTAAACATGATTCTCTAAAATGACTGAGAGCCAGCCCTCTCAACACTCAAATACAGCTTACCAGAGGCAGGAATCAGCCCCAGAAAATTACATGCATCATATTCACATTATTTTCTCACTGGGAGTTTGCACCTTTTTATGCTCTAATTATTTCTGCATGTCCAAAGAGTAGCAGTTGTCAGCCTGCTTTATCTACACAAGGTGGGAATGTTACCTTTTTTCTTTGGAATGCTCACCCTGCCAAAATTGTTCTTACTTTCTCACCAGATGGCGGAATAACCGTGAAGCACTCTACAAGGGATGGTGTGGTTACAGTGTTCAGAGGTTGCAGCTGCACAGTGCCTCTGCAGCACTTCTCATCAGGAGCACTCTTGCCTGCTCTGATCATCAGTCTTTAGTTGAAATTCCAGACGCATTTTAGACAAAAAACTGAGGGGGTTGATTAGAAATACCAAATGACTCCTGTGTGAGAAGATGAGATAAACTTCACCTTCAGAGAGAAATAACTGAGGAAGGATGTGATGGAGGTTTGCAGGAAAAATTGCTTGAAGAAGGGTATAAATTTTAAAATAATGAAGTATTTTTTTTCATACAACAAATAATTAAACATTGGAACTCACTGCCCCAAAATTTCAAGTACAGTAAAACTCTTTTACTTTTCTCATGTGTTTTGAAGGGGCTCTAGAGAAGGTACAAACAACATTTACTTGTGAGAGTTATAAGTGTAAATTTGACTCTGATTCTCAGGTCTGTTGTGTTCAATTTGTGTGGGTTAAACAATGTAAAAAGGATGTAAAGCACAGAGGCTTCTTCTAGAGAATTTCTTTCAATTGCTGCAATTCTCTTACCCTAAATCTTGAGGGTAAAATCCAGTTTTGACTCTGCAGCTTTTCCACCACATTAAGAATAGGGGAGAAGACTGAAAGAGCTACAACCAGCCCTGCAACATCATGGCTTGAACACAAGAAGGATGATTTGAAATCTGAGTATGCAAATCAAATGCAAATATCTGGGAACAGGTGACATTCATCATCTTGCTGGATCATGCTCTTCAATGCATAAGACCACCTGTTTCGAAGCATATAAAGCCGAGATTTCCAGCTATTAGTATCTCCAAGGGCTGACGCAGTAAATGGAAACTGTGAGTACTCAGTACTTCATGGAAGTCAATTTTTTGCCTGGGTAGGCACCCTTATGCATGTCTGTGCTCTTTTTTTGTTTTGCTTCTTGTTTTTTGTTGGTTTGGTTTGGTTTTTGTTTGTTTTGGTTTGTTTCTTGGGGTTTTTTTTTTACTTTTTATAGTAAGAGGAGGGTGTGTATAGCTGCTGGTGATGAAGTTTTCCCATAAAGAAAAGCTACATTTAGTGGTCCAAGGAGCTGCAGTTCCTCCCATCCCTCCCTTCCTCCCTCCCTTGCTTTCTCCCTGCATCCCTTCTTCCATCTGAGTAATGATTCAAATCAGTTGGGGAAATCCTGTACATGTTTGAAGGACAGAATATACAACCTGTTCTCTTTTGCTTTCTATTTGTGACCTTCCTTTTTCTGCTATAGAGCAGACCACCTCAAAACCCAAGGATTTGGAAGGATCCAAGGACACCAATGGAAGGAATGCTCCAGCATGTGCTCTCAACTCACTTTGGCATGGATGGGCAAAGATACTGGAAATTGTCACCTGATCCTTCCAACTACTGTGTTCTCCTCTCCATGGAGTACCATCAACTACATCTCAGAGGCTTTCTGAAGAATCCAGAGGGAGGAAAATGTCCCCTCAGCATGCTTAACAGTGTGGGAAGAGATGGGTAAGAGTGTGAGCATGACATGGTTGGTGTACCGCAAAGAACATCCATTCTGCTGCACTTGTTCTACAATGGAGCATTTCAAAAATAGTGCAAACTGCTGGCAGGAATGAGATTCACAGCTTTTTTTTTTTTTTCCCCACAAATTCTGGAACATACCTTGACCATGTTGCAAAGGTCTGTCTGTCTCCTGAGCCTTTTTACAAACTCTTTAGCTTCTGTTAAAGAAGAGGCAGATGTTTCACATCATTAATATTCTACAGTCTAAAATACATTGATGAAGACATCTTTTAAGTTAGAAAGTAGTTCCCTGGGGGAGATTTTGAGGGTAATGGAGGGCACAGAAGGGGCACTGAGCTAGCATTATGGGATGGGCTGGGGACCCTTCCCGTCAAACCTCACAAGGAGAAGCTGCCCAGCTTCTCCACTCTTCCTCCACTGTGAATCTATTAATCCATGATGTACACAAAAAAGTCTTTCAATATTTTCTTACATTTAATATAATGCTGTTTTACTTGTATGGTTTCAGGTGAATGAAAGCAATGTTAAATCTAAACTTGCTGTATTTTGTTTAGATAGTTTACATTTCCACCTTTACTCATCTGTAATTCTGCAGCACTGTTGATAGAAGTTGGTTTCTTTTGTTGTACTTACCTTCTGTTTATGATGTCTTATATGTAATTATGAAAAGCATGGTCTAAGAATATCCTTCCTCAGAATAAAATAAATAACTGTTTCTCAGTTGAAGGAAAACCAAGTGTAAAGTAATTTCTGTAGACAGACAACGATTTTCAAGGGAAAATTTATGTTTCTATGATGTTTGTACAAACCAGAAAGACCAGGATGTATCTATATAGGGTAACAGCTGATTAATCACGTACACTTATTAAAAACACATTGCTATGTTTGCTCTGTCAAGCATGCAAATGTAAGAAATGCCAAAATTAAGTCTGTCTGCAATATTGAGCTTATGAATCCTAATACAAACTTTTGCCTACACAGGAGCCCTGCTTTACCACTGAGAAGTTGGTCTTCACTCAATGAGCAACTGAGCAATATGATGGCTTAGTCAGAATCTTCAGCTTAACAGGTATAAATATATATGTGTGTGTACATATTTACAAACACACACATATACCACAGCTTTGTAGGGGTCAGATTTTTTTCCTATCATCTTCTAATATCAATCATATTTTCCCTATGGGACTATGGCTTTTTTCCTTTTATATTGGACTGCTACAGCCATTAATTAACTTATCAGCATAAAGCCACTCGTAAGAGGAAGAGACACAATAATATCTGAGTGTCAGAGGGCATGCTTCATATTATTGGTCATCTACACAGCTAAACAATCATGGCAAGAGACAGATCTGTAAAAAGATTTAAGTACATTTCAATTTATCATGAATTGGGAATACTTTTGGCTTAAGTTTGTTCTCACATTATGCAATATCATTTATTTTTAGCTGTATCCCAACTAACTCTGGTTATTGCTACTATCACTGTTACATCAGCTAAAAAATTTTAAAAATAATTTAAGACTTTTGTAATACCATCTTCTCTGCAGTTTAACCAAAGATCATTTTTGAAAATATCTCTCTTACTCAAACCTACCATTAGACTTGGATGTTTGGAGCAGTAATGGAAAACCTCCCAAAGGATTAAGCATCCAACACTTAACATTTTCACTGAATGATCTGATTGAGTCTATGTGTTGTGCAGGCACCTCCTCCAGGAAATCAGGAAGTAGGATGTTCTCCAGTTCCTAGAACACAAATTCATGCTGCTGCACTTGACTGGTGTATCACAGATACTTACAGCAGCATGAAATAAAATTATATTGATAATTTAAATGTAAGTGTAAAGAAACCCATTTGTTTCTTCCAGTTAAGCAAGAACTAAGCTACCTTTTTTAGCATAAGGACAAAGACCCTAAGAGTAAATGTTGCTTCCTGAATTAATTTCTAGACAATACTTAATGACCTGCTGGAAATAAGAAGAAAATATTTTTTTATCAGAAAACTGCATATTTCTATGTGTAAAGTCACTGAGAAATGCAGTAGTGTTCTCAAAGGAAAAGTAAGTCTCATAATCTGGAAAACCATCATCAGTTGAAATTTCAGTCACATAACCGCATGCCAGAACCACAGACCACATTTATAACAGCACACTCCATTGATATTAGGAACTTTCAAATTAATATATAGGAGCAAAATGTAAGCTATACCAAATTCCACTGGCTCCTTTCAAAACCAAAACCCATACTGGGCTGTCTCAGAAGAAGCCAAAAGACAGAGTTAAGGAATAAACGAAAGTCCCATGGTACAGCACAAAAGAAAGAGAGGGTCCTTCTCCTTAGAACTACCAAGAAGACATAAACACATAATAGCATAGTTACAGAAATCAAATCTGTGTGCAGTACCTTGAATAGATACCTATCATAGCTTTTTAACAGCTGGCATACATCTGGCAGGCACATCAGTTCTATTCTTTCAGGCTGCAGAGATGTCCAGAATGACATGATACAATCTTCCACCTGTCACACAAAGCCCTTTATGAATTTTCACTGATTTTACACTTGTGGAATGTAAAGTACAATTCAGTAAGACAATACACAAACACAGAAGCAAAGGAATGACCATGGAGATGGTCTCTTTGCCTCCAGTGTAAGTGGAAGTGTGCTGGGAAAGCTGCAACAAGCTGAACCTCACCAGGCAGTGTCTAAAAGAGGAAAGAAACAAAGAATTGTGCCATGGATATGAGGATGTAATTAAAGATATATATCCATGGCTATGTATTATGCACTCAGCTCAGACTTATTGATGTTCCAGGAGGGCAGGCCTCAGAATATACATACAAACTCAGATTCTTGGAGCATGTTGTATTAATTCAGAATTTTAAAATAACTTGACTAAATGCTCCTTTTGTCCATAAATCATCATCTACCTTAGCTCAAACCATCAAGTAAATAAGCTACATAGACACAATTTTACCATTACAGTTATTTGCTGTTTTCAGAGTAAATGTTATTAAAGGCATACCTTGTCAAGCTTGGTCTCTCTCACCATTTGTAAAATAACTTGACAATAGTTGTAGTAGTCATTGGCAAGCAGTGCAATCTGTTACCAAAAAGAGGGCACAAAATGATCTCACAGAAAAACAGCTAATGTGTTTTATGGCCACGTACTTTGAACATACCAGCTCATAGGGGTATGTCTCACTCTGTGCTTGCTCTCCAAAGAAGAACTGGTTGAAATCAGGAGAAAGGTAATGAAACGTCTCTTGTTCAGCCTTCAGATAAATGACAGATGGATAATACTGCAAATTCTTACTCTTGATGCACCAGAATTTATTTTGGACAATAAAAAAAAAAAAAGATTGCAATTATCTTGTCAGTTTGGTTAAAGGTGTTAAGTATTTTCTTGAAATTGTAAGATATGATTTTATAATAAGATGCATTTCTTTAGAGAAATGCTTGTCTCTTTAGAAAATAGAGATGGGTGAAAGAAAGAAGAAGGACTGCCTAAATATTTAAATCCTAAACTGTACATTAATTTATTTTCAAAACTAGTAAATATTAATGCCATACATATCTTCCATATATATTTTCTCTAGCACTACTGTCACTCTTGTAACCCCTGGATAAGGCTCCAGATAGCTGGCTGTGCTGTGGGGATGACAGGACATTTCCCATTGGCTGTCCTTGTCACAGCACTCATTACTGCACCTGAGCACTCGGTACAAGTAAGAGACAGACATCCAGCCTCTCATTTTTTCCTCACTTTGGTCCTCATAAGTTTGGTGCTCATGCTTTGCTGGTTGATATCCTACAAGCCTGGTGTCAGGCCACCCCATGACAGCTGAGAGGAGAACTGCCACAGGTTAGTTTTACATCTGCCTTTTCCAGTGGGCAGAGACTGTGCTCTTTTTTCGTAATTATTTCCTAGTATTTAAATACTTCTTGTGACAATAAACTCTGAGCATGTTTAAATGACACTGTCTCAACAGTATTAGGTATCATGGGCCTCAGGCAAGGAAGGTTGCTCCCCACTAACTCCCCTAATGTTCAAAACCTGATCTGTCAGCCACAATTTCTGGTCTCAGTACAGACAAAATTATTTAAGCTGATGTTAAGACAACAAAAATATTTAGCTAATGGGTGAAATAGGAGTAGGGGAAGTAAGCATGTAGTGAGATTACACAGACCAAGATTATTTTAAAGAAGATGAGCTAGCCGTATTTCATCAGTACATATTAGATAGCAGTTATAATTAAACACACAAATAGACATTTTGTTATGTCTAATGTATCTGAAACTCACTGTTCCTTTTTTTTGTCTATTCTTCTTGTAATCAGCTGCATTTTCAGAACTCCAGGAACTTCTACTGTGATAAAATATATAACAGAAAAAAACCCAAACAAACATTCAAAAGCTCACTGATTTATTCTGTATTTAGTAAGAAAATAGTTCAAACTGGATAGACTACACTAGGTTGGAGAATTGTGTTTGAGAAACATATCCCACTTTCTGTCATTTGGTAATCCCAAGATTTTCGAATTAATCTGGGACCAACTTCTGAATTTTAAGATGAAACTGAAACATTCATTTTAATGACAATTGACCATTTAACAGTGTAATGTCTTTGAACTTCTTGCATCAGAACCATGGGTTTGTATTTGTAGCAGCCGTTTGTTTGGAATGGTAATAACTATTACAAATATCAAAATAACAAAAACATTATAATCCCTTTGCTTAGGTTTCACAGTTATTACATTTTCTACATCACACATAAGTTTAGATGGCATTTTGTTTCTGACTGCTTCCCATTTACTTTACAAGCTGGCTGGCCATGGTGTTCCATGCAGTCAGAATCTGCCTGGACCTGCAAAGGCTTGACCACTGGCTTGTTGCTGAAAGTAGGCACAACAGGCTCTTTCTTGCTGTTCTTTCTCCTGGCTCTCTCCCTACCTGTTTTGTTGAGGCTAATGGGAGCAGAGGCAGAGGCAATGTTGCTAGTAAAAGGGACATACTGCAAAAATTGGATGTCTCCAGTCAAGCCTCCATCTGCTGCTGACACTTGCTCACTGACTATGAAGGCATTTCAAACTCAAGAGTCCTGTTGGACTTGGCTGTTTAGAAGGGTGATGGGCTATCTGATCAGATCCTGGCTACTGCTGTGTACCCTGTACAAGCTGGGTACCACCCTACATCCTGAAGGGACAGAGGACAAATGTAAAAATATATCTGCCTGTAAACTCCAGCCACTGAAAATGCTTCCTCTCTACTCTATGCCATCCACAGGACTGGCCCTTGCCACTTTTCCCTCTGCTCTACTCTGTGCCATGAAGGCTGTGCTCCAGCAAAAAAAACAATTTGGCTGCCCAAGACAGGGCATAGCATTCACTCTGAGTGTGTCTGGTAGTGCTGGTGACTCTTTTCCCCCAAACATTTTAGAAGTGGTGACTGGACAAAGCAAACACATATAAGCAGAGATGTTTCATAACACTCCTTTCAAATAGATCCTTCCTAAAGCCTGTGAAATAAAGTTAATATTTTTCAGCTCCTGCTCTCCCTGAGAAGGAGGCCAGCTGTATCTTCTGCTGCTGCTACTATGGCAACACGTATCAGCAGCGCTCGCCTCCAGTGCGTTGGCTCCCTCGGCAGCCTGGCTCCCCACTCCCCTGACACAGGAGAGACAAGGAGTCCCCTGCACCCCAGCCAGTGATGCTTAATTGCAAGTACCTAGGGAACACTAAAACAGTTCTATGTGCTCCCACTGTTAGCAAAGGGGGCTGGGACTCACCTGGTGCTTGGCTGCACATCAGAGATGCTCACTTCCCCCGGAGAGCAGTTCCTGGGTAAACACAGAACACACAAAGAGGAGGTGGGTGGGAGAAAGGGAAGATGGGTGACAAAAAATCACAAGGAATTTCACCGTCTCTCTTGCAGAGTTTGGGTGATGCTATGGGATGGGAGCTAAAGCTAAAATGGGAACTACAACAATGGGGATGAAATAAAGAATAACAGAGACACGAATGGGAAGGACAAAAGAAAACTGAAAGGAGGGAAGGTGGTGAATGTGCATGGAGTTGACTGCCAGATTACACAGAGATTAGAAAAATTATTTTGCTAGAGGAAAATTTATTTTTTTTTAATGAAAAAATAATAGGTTTGCTTCACTAGCCAGTCAGGACCCTGAACCTTGCTTATTACTAGAATAAAAAAAGCAACTCTTATGGAACCAAAATTCAGTGATATTTCTTAAACACTGCTGAGCCAGACCAGGTACCATTTTAGGGACAGCTTGTCCTCAAAGCCCCCATTCCGAGAGGGAACACATTCTATTGTAATACAAATCAGTAAATGTCTGTAATACATGTGGAGACCTCATTGACTACAGTTGCATACATTTACAACATTTTCATAGCACCATCATCAGACCTGTGGTTCACATATCTTCAAAGAACTGAAGATTTTTAAATGAACAAATTCACAGGTGCTGTGTACGACCATCCTCATCACTCCTTGTGTGAATGTGTTCCAACCCTGACACATCCAAGGTCCCACCAACTATCAAAATACAAACGCCTCCTTTGTATTAAAAGGCAAACCATTATAATCTTACTGCTATTTCTGTGACACCAACAAGCACAGCTCCAAAACTAGGCTTCAGAAGCCTAGTTCCTCACTACCAGCACCACATCAGTTGCTGGCTATCATGGTCAAGAAATATCCTTTTCAGTAATTAGAAATAGTGGTGCATGGTTTTGAAACCATTCTTTTCTTTACCACTCCACAGGCTGGATGGATGCTGTGGTCTCTCAGCTGGGCTCAGGGATCCACTTTCCTCTCTGGTAGGTGTGACAGAAAAAGCATTGCATGTTGGATTTTATTCAGGCATAGGAGGGCGCAGTAGTTATTTAGGACACCTTCACTACTAAAACAGATACCCCTGGCCTCTGCCTGAGGGAAATGGCAACAAGACAGAGAAGTTATCCTGTTAGAAGGATCTGGACAACAAACTAGACTGCACTGAAATGGTGCATTAAAAATCTTCACTCTGATTTGGAAATTTCCACACAAATACACTTCCAGAAATTGAGATTATCGGTCAAATACCCTGCTGTGTTTATACATCTGATTACTTATATGAGAACACAATTTTTTCTTGCAGGTAAAAAAGTCTTCAAGTTTTAATTACTTTTTCAAAATTTCAATTTTTTAAGTAAAAATCTAGACCTTTCCATTGCTGTTTTTTTAATTAGATAATGAAAAATTAACGTCAATTTCAAAAAGTACTGAACCCTACTGATAGGACAGTAAAGATGAGTTATTTCCTTCATGACTTAATTGCAAAAGATTTACAAAATTCCACACAAATGGAAACTCACTCACTTACTTGGTTGAAGCAGACGCTTTTTTAGTATGTGACCTAATTATTTCTTTCAGAGTTGTGCTATTCCTCCTTCTCTGGCTATGCTTTGTGATTTTCTACTGCTTTCTCTCTGTTTTCTCCTGCTGTGCTATATGAGATACCAAGAAGTAATTGTGACACCCATCTGCCCAGGTGTTGTGGGCCTGTGTGTTCGCCTGGGACAGGGACATGTAGCTGCATTTAGAGTGGAAGCTGCTCTCATTTCAAATGTCTGGCTTCACTCAACATCTTAGTGTCTTCTCAAAATTGTCATCAATGAAGGAAGCATCAGACAAGATAATTTTGTAGTTAAGGGACTTTTCTACTGCAGCTAGAAAGATGATCTTTGTCTGAATAAGATCTTCATATTCTGATTTTTTTTTTCATTTTTTAAAATTTTAAAATTTTTTTCATTTTTCTTCATTTTTTGATTTTTCTGAAAAGTTATAGAATCATAGAATCATAGAATGGTTTGGTTTGTAAGGGACCCTCAAGGGTTATCCAGTCTAACTCCACTACCATGGACAGGGACACCGTCCACTACAGCAGGTTGCTCAGATCCCTATCCAACCTGTCATTGAACAATTCCAAGGATGAGGATCCACAGCCTCTCTGGGAAACCTGTTCCAGTGCCTCACCACCTTTACTGTACAAAATTTCTTCCTAATATCCAATCAAAGCCTACCCTCTTTCAGTACAAAGTCTTTCCCCAGCTCTCCTGTTGGCTCCCTTTAGGTACTGCAAGGTGTTCGTAAGGTCTCTAGCAGCCTTCTCCTCTCCAGGCTGAAGAATGCCAACTCTCTCACCCTTTTCTCAGTAGGACAGCTGTTTAAGAACCAATATCAAGGTCAGTAGGTGGCTGGTTGATGTCAGTCCTTTCCCTGGAAGGCACATCCTATTCCTTGGCTTGGCCAAATTAAATAGAGTTTATTAATACGGAGTAGGTGTCGTGGCAGGCACCTCTGCAGCAGGTGGAGAAGGAGGAGGAGCCCTGCAGCAACCAGGGCAGCAGCTGTCCTATAGTTAAGCATGACCTACAGGGTGTTCCAGCCCATAGAGGAGCTGGCTCATTTCCATGAGGAGGGCCAAAGACAGAAGCTATGCTGGCATATGTGGTGTGTCTGTCTCCCAGCAAGGGCTAAAGTCCTTCTTTCTGCATCTGCCCCCAAACTCAGCTAACATTGCTTCTTTGGTTCCTCCTACTTTATAATTTTCTTTTTCCTCATGTTTCTACACAGGGAGGAAAAAAGAGCAACAATTTAAATAATTCTGTTCTCTCTCAGCTCTCATATGACCAGAATCATCAGCTTTCCTTTTAAGCCCATCAAGATTGCTATTTTTAAGTGATGCTGCAGGAAAACACCTCTCTTTCCCTGAAAAGGAAAGACCAGCAGAAACTTAGCCAGAGATCTGCAATATCCCTTGAACAGCAGACAAGACCTTTCCTCATTGTGAATGTCAAACCTTGGGCCTGTTCTGGTTATACTGGGTACACAGGAAGTTAAGGATATCACTTCAGTAAGTGTTGCATGGGAAACCAGCCTCAAATTTCCTATGAATAATTTGTTTAGTCTCACAACAACAGACTACCAGTCGATCATCTACAGAACCTGATCCTCTGTCTTGTCTCAACATTCACCCTTGTCGCTCTATGGACTTCTGCAACATTACCTGCCATAAAACCTGTGAAGAAAGGCAACAAACCTATGGGTGTAATTTTTCTCTGTTCTTCCAAAGCATGCACTCAAAATTAAGTATCATATAAAATATCACTGAAACAGTTCCAGTATCACCAGATATCTGGGTCCTTATAGGCTGACTTGTATGCCCCTAGCATTCATGCTACAGAATAATGGTGTATGTCCATGTTAAAGAATGGAAACCTAATTACAGAATTTACCAATATACACACTAAAGTAATGTACAAGGCTGTAAGAGAAAGAGGATACAAGCCTGGTCTTCAAAGCCCAAGGCATAGACTGCACCTAATTTTTTTGTTCAGTGTAAAGGAGTGGAAAACTGTTGCAGAATGGCAGCATTTCTTTTTTTCTTTTTCTTTTTTTTTTTTTTTTTTTTTTTTTTTTTCCCTGGGAAAAACTTCAAGCCTGTGGCTCGTTTATCTGAGCCATGAGCTCAGCCATGAGAATTCTTCTGCCCACAACATGCTCCTGTCTACCCTTTAACCTACCATAGTCTTACATTCATATTAGGCTTTTAGACTTTTAAGTTTTGCAATCCTTTTTTACTTGTCTTACACATTTTCTTGTTGATGTTTTCTTACAAGAGGTGATTTTAAAATCTGATATTTTAAAACCAAGTGAACAAAGTATTTTTGAAGTACTGTTTCAAGCAGTAAAAACCCCAGATAGCATGATTGCGTGAAGGATTCTTCAAAACAGCACAGTCATTTATAATTTAATACATTTCTTCAGTCTACTGTTTAATGAGGAAGGTGATAGAAGCCATTTCAATACATTTTTTTTGAGCTCCCATTTAAAGTCTCAACATATTAAGCTTCTCTTTTAGATTCAGCATGAGTTCCTGCTCTTAAGATCTACATGGCTAAAATGTCCAATTTAAGGAAGTCTAATTAGGCAGTGTCTGTTTCCAAAATGCAGCTTGTCTATTAGGGTATAGCACCTAATGGCACAGCACTTTCATAGTGTTTATAATGAGAAGAAAAATATCATGCTACTGTCAGTGTTCAATAGATGATTTACAGATTCTCATGGATGTCATGTGACATTTTTTGCTTAAAACATTTTTAAAAACAAACCTGAGATAATTTTGTTCATATAGAAGACAGCAAAAACGTGCATAAAAGGAAGACTCCTTCTTGATAGCTATTCCATCATAATGATATCTAGAAAATAAAAGAAAGATGAACTGTATGATTTTCAACAAGCCAGCAAATAATTAATAATCCTCTTTTGAAAGCAGATGATCATTCTATTTAACCAAGAAAAGAAAAACTGAATTTGTTTTTTAAATTCTGTTGAATGTTTATTTTCCCAAACAGAAAATAATTACACAAACCTTTTACAAACTCCTTTTAAAAATTTTTGTCCTGCAATGATACCCTCTTTTAAATGAAATGAAACTTAAGCCAGTGAGGGAGTGCCTCAGATTTGTACAGGACAGTTAGTGAAGTTAGGAACCAAACTCTTAGCAGACAGAGATCCCCATATGCCCATGGAAGCCAAAGAACTTAGTGCAGCTGTTCCTCATCCATTTACAGCAGCTCAGTGACTGGATGGCCCGTCGGTGTCGTGGCAAGCTAAAACTCAACAGGACTACCAGACCTTCTCTAGGATTTATCTGAGCTCAGGGAGCAGCAGAGCCACCATCTCTGCTACCAAGGTGCTACCAGCTGGCTCCTCCCAGGCTGGGCCAGCAGGAGCCAGGGAGCAGTGCCTTGGTTTGGGGCCACCTGCAGCCAGGAGCAGGTAACCTTCTGCTGATAGCAAGGGAGAGCATGGAGGCTACCAAACACCATCCCAAATCCTGTCTGCTGTGAGGAGGAGCCTAGGAGTGTCTGAGGTGAGGCATTCCCAAAATAAAGGGTCTCCTGGCACAAGCTGATAGCCAGTCCAGACTAGTGGAAACAAGTCACAGATCAAGTAAGGGTGTGTTCTCAAACCCCATACTTGACAGCTACACAAAATGCTTGTAAAATTATTCAGTCCCAATGACCTTAAAACATCACTTTTCCTAGTCTGGATGTTCAGCGTGCAAGTATAACTTTGGAAATGAAAAAACATCAAACTCTCTGTGCTCGCAAAGAGAGGGAAGGGAAAAGAAAGGACGTTTAGGAGGAGGACTTGAAGTTGTCTGGTTTAAATGGTTTGAAACTGTACAGCACTTCCACTGACCATCAGTATATGCAGGGTCACTCCATGGAGGTGTGCAAGGACAAAAAGCACAATACAGACATGAATCATAGCTGCCACCCCTGTGCATCCCAGAGCCAGTCTTTCCTGGCCTAGAGATGCAGTGTCTGAGGAGCTCTCAGTAAGGCTGTGATGGCTGGCAGATGCTTCATGCAAACCATGCTATTAATGGCCAATACTAATTGGAGCACTAAGGTCTTTTAAAAAGCAGTCCAATCTGGAATTCATGCCTTACAAAAGCACATCTGATGTGGCAGTTTTCATGGAATTAACTCTATTTTAATGTCCTTGGTTACACTATGAATTACTCTGGGTCTTGTGTTGTGTTATAGACTTGCAACCAACAGTTCATCTGTCATATTACAGTGCTGGGGCTGAAAAGTCAGCCACATTAAAATTTTATTAAATAGTTATAATTAACATTTTCAAAGAAAGGACACAAACCCAATACCTGATGCTCCCTGCTGTGGTCCGCTTTCTTGTCACCAGGCCTGGGAAAACTAACTGAATAAGCTGTACAAACAAACAGAAAATTAGAGAAACTTTGCAAATTCATTCTAAGATGCAAAAATGTATCTGGCATACTTTTTTGTCTTTAATCACTTTGTTTGCTTTTCATCATTTCCAGGCTAATACCTGTTCCTACATACCTCTCAAATGGTAAATGTTGAACTAAACTCAATCAGGCATTTGCAGAGCCAAGGCTAAGTAATTTAAGGGATTACCTCTCTCAGATAGGATTTTTTTTTATAGTTTGCACTGGAAAACAGTGCTCACACCAAGAGACCCTGTGCAGCCAGGGCAGGATGAATTAGCTGGGGGAACTTGAAGGTGTCCTTATGGTCCCATACTCTGCCAGACTTTGAAGCCTTATTCACTTAAGAAGGACTTACACAAGGGGCTTCACCTACCCACTTACTTTTGGAAGGTGTACTGACAGGATAGGGCCAGACTTACCTGTTGTAAAAAGACCTCAGTCATCAAGCTGCAAAGCAACCTTTTGACCACTGTGGTGGTGTGAACTGAGGTCATGCAGCATCTGTCAAGGCTGGGTTCTACAGAGTAATTAGATACTGTCAGGGTAATAATCCACTTCACTATGATTATTCTGCATGAGCTGTCCTGTCAAGACAGAGACTAACTCAGGACACCTGCGTCCAGGACTAACCCAGGACACTCTAATATTCCCAATATAGCAGGAACAGAGGATTTACTCCCTGTTAGCAAGGACTGAGGAGAGTCTCCACTCGGCAGCATGAAGCTTGGATGTTGCATAGTGTGGTGTTGGTCCAAAGGCCTGATAAAGGACTCATCAACATGCACCTCTAGTTTTTATGATGGACCTGTTTACTGCATGTTTCTGCATGCACCCATCCCAGCTGCTCCCCTTCTCAAATTGATATCTTAGCATAATCCCATTCTCCTAAAAGGACAGCCTATGAAACTGGGGCTTTTGTGGCACAAGACATATCCTTCCTCCTGCTGCCATTTCTTAGAGACAGTGATGTACTTGGGCAGCCGGATAGGGCAGATGAGATTAGGAGTGTCTTCAATCACCATAGTTTGATCCACATGGGGCTGGACTGCAAAAGCCCTTGCAGTCCACACACATGGAGCACAGTCAGGTTACTGTGCTTGGTAAATTATTAGTAGCTCAGCCCATTATAGGCTGTGGTAACTGGTTACACATGCACTCAGGTTAAACCAGGACTGCTGCAGCTCCTGCTCTCCCCAGCTTCTTGCTACAAGGTCCATTCTCTTGCTGCAGGACAGACCATTTCAAGGCACTGGGGAGCTGCACCCCAGCTTGCTGCTTTGGGATGTGTTAACCTGCACTACAATGCACTGGGTCAGTCGAGGCTGTGAGCAAATAGTTGCAAGCACCAGCCCACAGCAGCTCTGGCTCGCCAGCTCTTCCATGTGACCAGAATCACTCTTCATCTGTGCCTGTCCCAGTTTAAAAGTAAAACCCATTGAGATAAACCATACAAAGGCTTAGCTTACAGGTGGTAACTCAGCCGTGATGGAGCACTGGAAGGATACAGGCAGGATGGGATTAATCTCATCTACATGGCTACAAGGCAGAGAAGTTGTTGCAGACTACATAGTCAATGGGAAAAAACAAAAGGACATTCTGAGTCCCCTCTCATCTGAGCTGTCTGAGGTGACTCATACAGTGTGAGGAAACATGTGTAACTACTTATTTCTCTCCAGTGGCTACCTAGAGATTTTTAAGGTGACAAGCTTCATGGCCATTGTCTATGTTCAGGCAAATCCTACCCACGGTCTTAGCTGATGAGTGATGATCCATTAAGCTGTGTTAATAAATCACACCGGATCACTCAAATATTAATTTCCAGCAAAAGTGATTTGACTTATCCAGGAAAAAAAATTACATTCAGCTGAATTGAGATAAATGATTCCTAGAATGGGGTTAGCCACACAAATGAAATTGACCTCAGGTACAACTTGTACCTAAATTATTTTTGGATTTGCATTAAAACAATGCTTGGTAGCTCTTATTGTGGGAATTAATAGAAAGTTAGCCAGAAAAAATAGGAAGTTCTGAAGTCTGAGTAAGAAGTCTTGAACAAGAAATACCCACATGGCTTTCTATCTTCCTTAATTTGTTAAAAAAAAAAAAAAGTAAATAGCTATGGGTGTTGATTGCAATTGGGATTTCTAAGTGTTAATAGTTCATGGGTTGTATCAACCTCTATGTAATAGAAAAGTGGAACTATTAGAAGGAGATTCATCTGCATTTGTTTTGCTTGGATGACTCTGTAACAACATTTTAGGGTATGTTTGGAGCAAAATCTCCTCAAGTATACTGAAAAGGAAAAGTATAAAATTATGTAACAACTGAAGGTATCTTTTAAAGACAGAAGAATAATTTCTTTGGAATGAGTCGTACAACTTTCTGCTGTTAAAAAAAGAAAACTGTAAAACTTTCTAAAATACTGGCAAATCTTTGCTAGTGTATTATAAACCAGTTCCTTGAAGAAAATAAACTCCATCCAAAACAATACTCTTTCATCTGGTACAAATGCATTTATATGAAGGCTTAACAGAAATACATTAGAAAATGCACAAGCATAATTCATTGCATGTTCATTCTTCTCTGTTATTTAATGTCTTTTGATATGCAGTGTGTATAGCTGATGATCAGGCTTTCTATTTAGGCATCCCTACTTCTTATCTTGTATATCCTATCTACTCTGTACCTTTCCAAAGGTGGATGGATGTACTTGAATCTTGAAATCTGGGTTGCAGGTTTCAATATACAGCTCATATAGTAGCCGACAGGGTACTGTGCATCCTCCACACAAATAGAAATTATCAGCTAGCCTTTAAAACAAAAATCAATTGGTTTATTTCAGAGTTAGAAGAAAGAATTGTTGGATTTTTTAAGTTCATCAAATTTGCAGCAAACTCTGTAATAGTCACTCTGATTTTATAGAAGCATAGACTCAAAAAGAGCTACTTCCTTTGTGTTAATCTGTATCCTGGGAAACAATATACTTTTTCATATAAATACATATATGTGTACTCTCTGTTTATTTTTAACTTTCAAAGCCCTATTTTCCTTGTGTTCAACATATAAGAGAGGTGATGTGAGATTCTGCTAAGCAATTAACTAATTCTCATGTTTTTTTAATTAAAATAATACATCTTAGTAATACTATTTTAACATTAACAACAACACAGTATTAGAACTTCTAATTTGCAAAATGTTGTTATATCAAAGGATCTAACTTTGGTCTTCTAAATAGAAAGGTATCCACTACACCAAAAATAGTAATAGGAGGATTTTTTCCACCTAAAATGTGCAATATGGCATTTTGGGACAGAGCACATGAACTATAAAGGACCACATTCCGTTTTCATATAATCTCACTGATTTTAGGAAAGTTTAATAGGAGAACAAAATTTTAATTTACAGTAAGTATATAACAGAACTACCAGGACTGAAAAAGGCTTAGATAAGGTGAATAAGGTGAGGAAAATGTAAACTTGGTTACTTAATAGCATAAGATATTACCTTCACCAGGAAGAATATGATCTTTAGTTATAAAATAGTAGCAAAGGTTTTGATGTCAGAAGATAACAGGCTACAGTACAAATATATGAGCAAAGCTGAAGCAAAGGAGCAGAGAGATTAATTTTCAAAGCATGACACACTGCCCCTATCACAGTGGTTTCTTGCTCTGACTGTTTCCGTTCTACCATATTATTTATGCATATTTAATTAATTTATCAGCTGAATGCCAGTGCAGCACAGTGCCAGTTACTCACTGTGTCTTTCATGACAATTGAGTTGGTTGGGTAAGCAGACTTTTCACATTCATCAAGTGTGATAAGTCAGCTGGATTTTAAATCAGCATCCTCTGTTTTAGCACCCTGATTTCAGGCAACCCAGTTGTTTATCTTGGTTGCTTTGGCAGTTTACAGTGGATAAAGTCCACAGCAAATTGGCTTGATAGAACAGACTGAGCAAGAATATAGTCTCTGTGCAGCTTGATGACATTTACCTCATCTGTTATTTGTGCCTCCTCCGCTTTTTCCATTGAAGAATATTATCTGCTTCCCCCAGCTTTCCTCCTCCCTAGCAAAAGACCCCCAAATGCCTTACTTATATCTCCTTGAAGACCATCTCCTCACTCAACAACCCAAGAGGCTGTGCTGGGCTCCCTGCCAGCTCCTTACCACCTCCAGCCCCACCATCCAACAGCAAAGCCTTCATGGCTAGACCTGAGCTGGAACCTGCACCCAAAGATAGGGGATCTGCCGCTCTAATGGGGTATTTCCCATCATCAGGCTCAAAGGTAAATGAAATTTATTCTACATAAGAGTCCTGATGAGCTCTGCCTCCCAGCAGGCAGAAATGCTTGTTCTTCTACAGTATCTGAAAACCCTTCACAATTGAGCAGTCTCAGAGGAGATTAATCTTAAGTTCAAATTCATCCTTAATATAACACCACAGGAGTCATTGGAAGTGCATCAGAAATTAATTCATCCTCCAGTAGCTGGTTTCTGCTGATAGTTTTTCCTCAGCATTTAACTACTTAATGAAAAATTATTTAGGAATCCCATTTTGTGAATTTTTTGTCTATTAAGCTGCCACTCTTTTTCAAATAGTTAGTCAAACACCTTCTTAGTGCTGACACATAAGACAAAAATATTTCTATCAGGAAAACAATCCACACAGAAAAGAGCACAGCACTCATCTTCTTGCTTATTAAGCCCCAAGGTTTTCAAAACCTCAGTTTTTATGGCATGCTTCAACATAAAACTGTGAATAAAGACCAAAAAAAATCAAAAGGAAAGTGTGGTTAAGGGAGAAAGGTAGAGGTTAAAGAAAAAGCACAGGGGGAAATATGTCCTCCATTTATCTACTGTGTATCCACACACCATGTAGGGTTGTTTTATCCAATTCATTTTAGGAGCCCAAATAGACTCCAAGTGCTTAGGGTTTGCCACCTATTCTATGTGAACACTCAGCAGCCAGGCCATTATACAGATTGAAAAGCCTGCTGTTAAACCATTTTTGGACTAAAATCTGGTTTGCTATTGGAAATGCTATTGGAAAATGAAGCTGAACATTTAAAATTTTTCAAAATATTAAAATAAGGTTGTTATGATGAAAAAAATCATTAGTTCATCTTTTCAAGGATTGCTTATGATTCAGTTTTATGCTGTGTCTCAGACATGTTGGATGAATGACCTCACATGAACCTCTTCCTTCAGTCCTTTTAAAATGGGAGCAGTGGTATCAGTGAAAACACAGACTAACTCCCACTGCTCAGATATAACTGACGGGGAGTAAAATTATTTAAGATTACTTGCTGACGAGTTGAAAGTTTGTATGTGTTGTTACTATTTCACAAAAGCTTCATCATTATTTACTAGCAGGACTCATCTGTGCTTGGGGAGACAAGTAAAGTAACCCTGGTTTCTCTTTGGCTGTCACATGGCAGATGATGCTCTTCTCAAAGCCCAAGAAAACAATGGTGACAACCTTCTCGCACTACACAAAGTGTCTCGTTAAGGAGTTCGACCTCCAGCTCAAGAAAAAATAACCTTGGAGAATGTCAAACGCCCGGCATCACCCCGAGTGCCAGTGTGGCACCTGCTCGCAGCCACTCGTGTGCTGTAAGAGCCCGCCAGGCACGAGTGGCCGAGCCAGGGAGATCCTCGACAGCTGCCCTGCAGCATCACACCAAGTGGATGGCTACCAGGGGCCAGACCCCAGCCCGTGGGCGGCCTGAGACCAAATCCCGTTTCCCCCATGTCAAACCCCCTACATATTGCTAAGACTCGTTGCCGGAGACGGCCTTTCAGGAAAATTTCGCCGCTTTCTTGGTACCGTTTATGCATCACCATGATGATGGGGCCTTCGCAGCAAACCACACTCTTGCCCTGCGAAACCGCGAGAAGAGTTAAAAGCGGGACTCCTACACCCCCTGTGGCAGGGCAGATCCTGCGAGCCCCCCGGCAAAGGAGCGACAGCTGCGGCACCTCCGCGCTCCATCCTCAGCCGCGGCCCGTCCCCGGCGGCGGGCGAGGGGGCAGCACGCACCATTGGAGGACGGGGAGGTAGGTGAGGGAGGTGGGGCCGAAATAAGCCATCTCGGCCAGCTCCAGCTCGGGCTGCTGCTCCGTGTCATCCATTGGGACGGGGATGGTGGGGCCGGGGCCGGTGTGTGCCGAGGCCGGCGGGTAACGGACAGCGGGTAACGCCCGTCCCGCGCAGCCCCGCGCCCGTCCCGCGCCGTCCCGCGCAGCCCCGCGCTCCTCGGCGCTTCCCGCAGGGGCTTCTGCGCCCCGCGGAGATCGCGGGTGAGCCGGGGCCCTGATGGGGAGGCGCCACGCGGTATTGCTGGCACCAACTGCTCTGCCGCCAGATGGGGTTTGGTTTTTATGTTTTTTGTTTGGTTGGTTTTGTTTTGTTTTCGGGGTTTTTTTTGTTTGTTTTTTGTTTTTTGTTAGGTTGGTGTTTTGTTTAGTTTTTTGTTTGTTTTGGGTTTTGGTTGTTTTTTGTTTTGTTTTGGGGTTTTTGTTTGTTTTGTTTGTTTTGTTTGTTTGTTTTGGAGGGGTTTTCTTTGTGTGTTTTAATTTATTTATTTGGTCGGGTTTTTTGTGGTTTTTTTTGGTAAGACCTGCAGGCTAGAAAAGGAATTCTGCCCAACTTGGAAAGCCGATCGTGCAGTGGTGCTTCTGAATATCATGCAGTGGCAGGAGAAGAGGGGATAGCTTCAAACTAAGCCTAGATTATGCATTAATAATTCTGTAAAACTCTGAAAAAATTCTGTACTGTGAGGGTGGTGAGGCACTGGCCCAGGCTGCCCAGAGAAGCTGTGGATTCTTCGTTCCAGGAAGTGTTCAAGGCCAGGTTAAATGGGGCTTTGAGCAGCCTGGTCTGGTGGAAGGTGTCACTGCCCATGGCAGGGGGGGTTGGAACTTGGTGATCTTTACAGTCCCTTCCAATCAGGCCATTCTATGATTCCATGATTCTGTGATCACAAGTGCCATCTTAGAAGGTTTTGCACATCTTTAAAGCCTTACTTTCAGAGTTTTCAACAGGAATGCTGTGAACTCCCATAATTGTTTAATTTCTCTTTGATACAGATAAATGAAAGGTCTGTCTGCTCTGCTGAAACCCTGTAAGCACTTTTCCATCACAAGTATCCATTATGCAAAATGAGCTTTGCTGCCATGTGACTGACAAACTTAAATTATGTATGGCTGGAGCATCTAAAAGCTTACTAGTTCATGGCTTTGGGTTACATCAGAGCTCAGCTTCTCAGAAACTCCCACAGCTCCCTTCTGTTAATTAGCTTCCTGAAATCCCCATGTATGACACAGACTGGCTTGCTTCCTTCGTTATGACCACAGACGAAAGCCAACACGTTGGTAGGAAGCAGGGGTAGGGAGCACGACACCAGGAATAGGAATTTAAGGTGACAGGTTACTGGTTTTCTGGTCCCTTGATGTACCTTGTTTTTGAGGAGCAGTGCACACAGATGTCAGGTTATGGTTCGGGTTGCTTTGAATCTGTGAAGCCTCATGCTGTGTTGAGAAGCACATAGGAAGATGTTCACTCAAGGGCCCCTGAACCAAAGCCTTGAAAATGCTGTCTGCCAAAAACACAGGTTAGCATATGTATTGTAACCAGTAGTCTGCCATCAATAATTATACTTAATGGCTGACTGTGGAAGCTTCCCTCAGTAGCTGTATTTTGGTCTTGATTTTGTATGTCTGCAGTCTACTGACCTCTTCTGTGGGACATTTAACTTAGCAAATACTCCTGAAAATACTGTAGAGTGAAAGCTTTCTCAGGTTGAAGTAGCTGTTGTAAGAACTAACAACAGTGAAATTGCAGCAGCTGTAAGACTTGTGTGGTGCTGCCATGTAAGAATTCCTGGAGCTTCTGCAGCAGGTCAGGCAGTAGATGCTGCCTGGGATGCTCACTGCCTGTCCCTCCACCCCATGCACCTAAGAAGAGGAAACCTCATGTCCAGATTCCAGCAACTGGCTTGCTTATGTGTTTGCATGTGCTTCTGAGTCCTGGTCATAGTTCTCAGCATACATGACCAATAACTGACTTTTTGGGGCTATCTGAAGCTCTACACAGTGAAATTCCTTAGGCTCAAAGACACCCAAGCAGGAAAAATCCCAAAAAACATTTGCAACTTAGCTAAAACTGAAGAATGGTAAATAGAATATTACTGTGGTAACAGACTAAAGTAAGGGAGATTACACAGATCAGAAAGTCCTTGGATAACACCTACTGCTCAGGAATGTTTTGATGAAAAGAAGCAATTGCTGCACAGAAAAACCTGTCCAGTTACTGTCCATGGCTTGAGAGATACCAGTCAGGACACAGCATTTTTCCTGCCCAGTTTGCAGATAATGAGATAGACAGATTTGTGTGCTGTTCAGGTCTTGACACACTTCTATTTGATTAGGGCTTTCCCATTTTTTTTTCAAAAATTACTCTTTACCTTTCAGATAATTCTAACACTTGCTTTTATGTTGTTGATGGTGGTGGTGGGGAGTGAGTGGGAGAGAAGGGAGATTCTGACTTTAAATGCTAGGCTGTTAATAGAATTTGGTTGAAAATTGTACTAAATCAGTTTCTTCAGTTTACACCAGTCAGACAGGACTGGTGGATAAAGATTAGGTCAAGCTGTAGTAAGTCTTTATTCTTGCATAAGCTGAAAGCTGCAAAGCTCTTTATTGCTGTCATGGACATACTCCTTGCATAAAATTACAGAGTATATAATGAGCATGCACTTTGACTGAAAAAAGAATTGGTATAAAATTAGGAATATTGTTGAACAGATTAAAAGGTGTATGAAAAAAGCTTCCTTCCTCTGGCTTTCACCCATAACTAGGACAAATTTAAACCAAACTTTGAGGTAATAGACATCTCCAAAACATCGTAAGGAGTGTCTTTAGCACAAAATTGTTCAGATTACTGGCTGCCCTCAGCCCCCTCATCCTACAATCAAGAGAAGATTTGGATACCTTGGGAGATTTGGATGCCTTGTAAGGTAAACAGATTATGTAAGAGATCTTGCTGGTGACAGCTGTCTTGTAAAGGCAAGTGCTAACATCTCTCAGATATTTACAGTTTTAAAAATAAGTGCTTTATAAGATATTTTAATACTTAAGCAAAAGTATGTATGAAATAATCATTAAAGCAAGTGAATCTAGTACAGCTTCCACCTCTACCAGCAGCAATGAACAGATGTGACTACAGTATATTGCATGTTTCCCGTGGAGTTGCAAAGGCCTGAAGAGTATTTATTGCATTCATTCTCATCTAAGAAGGAATGGGTAATAGAGCTTGAAAAGGAAAATCAAAAATACCAATCCTTCCCTCACACCCACCAAACCAAGGTCCTGGAGCAACGTATCATTAACTTTTCCGTATGAAAAGTTAAAAGAATTGGGCCACTGTTGCTGTAAGAGTCCCATTGGCCAAAGGCAAATATCCCAGTTTGAGAAATGTGTCAGTACATTTTACTGTTTTGGCATTTGTTTGTTTGTTTGTTTGTTTGTTTATCCCTACTAGTTGGCCCCAGGGACAAAATTACATCTGTGCTAAGGTTTACTCATTTTCCCTTCATTTGATATCTGCATTATGCCAATGATCAGGCATTACCTAAATCTGATCAGTTTAATATGAGCAGAGATTGTCAGTCATAGCTCTCTTTCAAACTTTAGTTTGAAATAGATCACTTGAAATAATTAAACAAATACAAAATTTATTTCTGGTTTTGTCATGACATTTGAAGCAACAGCAAAAGCAAAACAGGATTGCAACCACCTTCTCCTTAAGTATAATGCTTTAACATTATGAAATGCTGTGTCCTTTATAAGCCACTTACTTGGACATGAATGCACATGAGGAAGAGGAAGGATCCTCTCCTAAGTGCCTATGGCATGTGAACTCTTTCGTGTATGAAAATCCAATTCAGCAGAGCATGTCAGCATGTTTGTGAGACTGCTTCATTTCAGCAAAGCATTTAAGAATGTGCTTAAATTTAAATATGTACTTAGCTGAATCGTTGTGCTGAGTGGGGATTGATGGCTGAATTGAGGCATTAAACATTAATGAGTGAGCTGGGAACACAAAATAATATGTAAATTGGGATGTGTCCTGTCATGACTAGAATAAACTGATTCAAACAATGCAATCATTGCGTGACTGAGATCTCTTGAAAGATGTGAAGCCATTAGAAATACTTAAGACCTGGTGACTTGAGATGGGACACAATCACTGACAATCACTCAGTCCTTCACTCATCTCAAATCACCTGGTTTTGGAGTGTCTGGGTGAAAATCTCTTCAACACGGGAACTGAAACACTTAACTGTCTGTTGGCACATGGTTAATTCCAGATGCTGCCCAGGGCAGTGTCATCTACTGATCTTCTTTTAACTAGGATGAAGGATGAATTCTCTGACTGCTTTTGGTCCAGCCACAACTGGTAGCAGGGTCTGTCTGAGCAGCTCTGTCTCTCTCTTGTCTGGAGAGACTCTGGTGTGAACACTTCCCACTGGGCCCTGCTGGTCACCCTTCGTGCTCCTGTGTAGGGCAGTGCCTCTAGGAAGGTGACTGTGGAGCTGAGGATTGTGGTTTCCACCGTGTGCTGACACTTGCTCATTATATTTCGTGCTCTTTGGACCAGCTTAGGGCAGACAAACAGTTTATACAGTGACTCATGAAGACGGAGATAGGGATAAAAGCCTATCTGTCCAGAAGAGGCTGAGGTAATGCTTGCAGGAGAAAGCAACTGCTTCATTTCTGCTTGGCAGAAGACGTTGTGCTTGCTCCTCCAAGTAGAAATAGCATTTTGTGATGCTTCCCGGATACATTCTTTTTGTGGTTTTGTTTTGTTTTCTACATTTTGGATGCATACTGCAGTTAACTTTCTGTTTAATAGGACAATCTATTATTAACAGCTGTGCTATAAACTCTGAAATAATGATTAGCTAGGTTTGCATGTTAGAGTAATTTGAACAGACAAAAAAAATTCCTGTACAATAAAAGCAGGGGTGAGTCATGCAGAAAAGCCCCATCTATCTCAGAGGCTAGAAACAGCAGTTCTTACTCTAGCTCCTGTGCCTGGTTTGCAGACGACATGCAAAAAACCCTTGATT